TGTGAGAATCACCCCACACTGGCAGCGAGCAAAAGTCAGCACCTGTTTTGGCCGGTGCGCTTGAGCCACGTGCCGTGGCAATGGTCACCTGACAGCCAGGAAATGCGATACCTGACATCCAGGGTGAAAATGCATGAACTCATGTTTCCATGCCAGGTCCAATGTTGTCCTTAGTTGACATGTTGACAGCTGAATGTCCACTGGTTTTCACACCCCTATCATTTTTGGCATGAAACATGAAGTCCATTGAAATTGGTGATCCACTCATGACACTACGCAGGTCTGATGTGTCCATGTGTTTGGTCAGACCATCCGCCAGCATGGTTTTGGTATTACACCACTGTACACGCGTTGTTCCATTCTCAGGCGGTTTCTCATTCAGCATCGTATCGCCATAGCTTTGCCCATTCTCTCGCCAGATCATTTGCCGCATTCCACATATGTCGATCGCCAATCTCTTGTCATTCACTTCGCCTCCAGAAACCTGCACAAGGTGATCCTTCAGGGATCTGCAATCAGTGACTTGGTGAAGCGTCACCATGTCTTTCGATTCAACCTTCCAGCTTGGGTCCAGAGGGTCATGGTCTTTTCGAAGTCCATGCAGCACCATTCGCAAGTGCTCAGCCTCTTCGTAGCCTGACAACATGCTCAGACTTTCAGCTTGAAGTGTTGATCTGCAAACTCGGCGGATCACTTGGCTCTTCCAGCTCAAAAGGTGAACTGGCCCTTTTCCATCTTTCATCACTTCTGGTCCACCAATCAGCAGCACGCGTCCAGACTGAGATCTGAAACCCATTTTGTTGCCATTCTTGTCCACATCGAAATCAGCAGCATGACTCGCATCAGTCACAGAAATGATCTCCAGCTTGTTGAAATCAAATTGATTCCATCCATAGACAAGTTCCTGGTCGCGCGTCATTTGGGCACGACGCAGCAAGGCATTGGCTTCAACTAAATCTTGAACCACAGGACATTGAGCACATGTTTGCAAGTGATTGGTATCGTATGCTAAATCTGGTCTGCAAACTCTGACTATCCAGTTCAATGATCCAACAACACTCCGAAGTTGCGCTTGCTCTTCGGTGGTGGCTGGAGACATGCGGTCACGTTTCCGACCAGTGCTCAGTTGGATTGGCCTGGTCTTTTCAAGTCCATGAGGGCATGTCACAACGATGCCTTTCTCAGTTTGTTTTATCACACGACCGCAATACTTGAACTCGGATTCTTCCACTTTTCCAAACTTCAACTTCTGCTGAACAACTTCCATCGCTTTCTGTGTGGCTTCACCACCACACCAAAGCAAATCATCAACATGACAAACAAGCAAACCATCAATTTCGCCATTCGGCTTGTTCATCACATATGCACCTAGTTCATGAGGGACGGCTCGGAAGCCAGCTTGGAGGAGAGTTCGGTGTAAGGCTCGCCAAAATCCACGTGGCGCATCTCTTGTTCCATAGACTGGTTTCTTGGCTCGGAGCAAGGAACCCTTTGGAAGTCCAGGAATTCCATCCCAGGGCATGCTCAGGATGAGCACTCTGGCCAAACCAAACCCTTGGAGAAATGCAGCAGTGATATCTCCGCAGTGGAGATTAAGATTGAAGCAGGCACAGAAACTCAAAATCAAACTCAGCATGAGGTGGCTGGCAGTTGGTGAATCGGTGCGGTACTCATTGTCCTTTTCCAAATCACCACGCACCACAAGCCTTGACTTCAGAAAGGCTTCTTCACCACCATCGCTTTTGTCAACATCAACCCAACGTGTTGGTAGAACTTGTGCATCAGGGTGAGCATCTAGGAAGTCTTTTGCCTTGTCTGGCGGAATGACATCACATGCATCAAAGTTGGACCAATTCTGCCATTCCTTCGCTCGTGCTTGGTCAATCTTTTGACGTAGCGCATCATCAGACTTTCCATAGTTCAATTCCTTGTTGCCCTTCTTCTTCTTGACTGCTTTCTTTGGAGTTCTGCGGGCAAGGAAACCAGAAAATGATTCAGCTTGCTGTTTCTGTTTGGAGTTCTGAGTGCGGAACATGGCAGTAGGAGGAGTATTGTTGGCTCTCGGAGAGCGTGATCTGTTTCGGCGTGGATGCCCATCAAGTCGGTTGACTGATCGTCGCATGGCTTCTTGAAGTTCTGAAACTCTATGAGCTCCTTCAGGAGTTGGTGGCGCTGGAGTTGGTGGCACCATCTCTTGATCAGGTTCCAATTCCGTGAGAAGTCGATCACGGGCTGGACCATCGGGAGTTGGAATTGGCGATGTTGGAGTGTAGGACTCCTGCATGAATTCATCCATGTCATTGAATTCCAGTGGAGGTGGAACTGGTGGTGTCACAAGTCCAGGTGACTGAGCCACAAGTCCAGGTGGCGGTCGCAACAAGGGATCTTCCTCAAATCCAGGAGGGTGTTGCGACATGGATGGAGCCACAAGTCCAGGTGGCTGAGAGTCCATCCCATTGGAGTCCAGGTCCACCAGAATTTCTCCACCAGTGACATCAGGATAGGGAATCTGCTCCTCAGGTTCAGGTTGTTGAGGTTGAACATCAGGTTGAGAGAGAGCAGGAATCACAGGAGTTTCTTCAGCTTGTTGTTGTTCTCCACCGCCACGACCAAGATGGAAGAAGGATCCTTGGTCGTCTTCATCTCCAATTCCAACAGATGGATCAAGATCATCTCCAAATGGAACTTCATCTTCTCCCACATCGTCTTGCAAGACTTGTCGCTTGCGTTTGCGTTGAGGTTTGAGCTCGGTGAGCTGCTTGGCAATGACTTCACCAGCTAAGGCTGGTCTCACCTTCTCCTCAGCAATGACGATGGGGATGCCGCCATGGATCAGCCAAAGGTTGGAGCGGCCTTCACGTCCAATCATACGTGCAGGCCCATACCATCGTCCTTCTCGGTGAAAGCACAGGAGATCACCAGGATGGTATGGTCCACGGAGAGGTGTTGATCTCCGCGTCAGTGCAGTTCGCACTTTCTGACTGGAGTCCACATGTGCAAATGACTCCTTGGCTGCTTAGCGGATGTTGAGCTGCTGGGCAAATTGGTTCTCGCCAGTGAGAATCTCTTCATGTACTCCAAGTTCTTCTTGACCTTGTTCAGTGGTCAATGAGCAGATCTCCACTGGCATCCTTCCCAACACCCATTGACTTGGAGAAAAACCTCCGTTGTTGATCCTGTTGTTCTTGACAAAGCAGCATTCACTAACCACCATGCGTATGTGCTGTCCTCCAACTACATTGCGAGATTGGACAGCATGAGAAACCATCTCCTTGAGGATGCCTCCATGTCGTTCACATCTGCCGATTTGATGTGCAGCTTCTTTTCCTGCAAAACGCAAGTAGATGCCTTGGGAGTTGACAAGCTCTGCAAGACGTCCACGGTTTGCCACTCCTCTGTCGACAGTCAGGAACCTCGGTGCACCAAAAATGGTGAGCCATCCATCACGTAGGGCTTCGGCACATTTCAAGCTGCTAGGTGTGCCGCCTTGATCAGAAACAATCCAGGCACAGTGATAGAGGGTTCCCAAGCAAATCACACTGAAGACAGTGTAGCGGTTTCCAATGGCATCTCTCACTTCTAGGCAATCGGCAGAGATCTCATGGTTGAAGGTGTATGGAATGGGAGGCCGGACAACAGGGCGAGGCTCAGGACGTTTGGTCTGTTGGCAGGCCTCGCACTTGAAAAACTTCAACTTGTGGAGAACTTCAGGTGATGCTCTTGCAACTCGCAGCATTCTGCCCATCGCTGAAGTGCTAGCGTGTCCAGTCATCTGATGGAGACGTCTGACAGCAACTCGCTGGGCATATGGCAACTTCAGCCATTCTTGTTTTCTGATGGCATCTTGGGCAGCGACAGCTTCAGCTGATTCTTCACGGTGTTCTTCCAGTTGTAGTTCATGATCATCAGCTCTGTGCTTCCCATCAGACTCTAGAGCCATGTCAGATGGTTCATAGATCATGTCAAGACTGCCCAGTGGGTTGTCTTCCACGACAGCTTCGGCTGGGAAGGCGACCTTGGTCATGTTGGTCTCCAAATCCTGAAGAAGTCCAGTCAGGATGGCCTTGCAAAAGTCCAAAGGCCAGTGTTGAGCCTTGTGTGTTCGGCTCGATCCTTCCAGCCGGTGATGTTGGTGTGAGCCGTCGCAGGTGATGTTGAGGCACTGCTTGACTCCGGCGGATGCCGTCATGATTCCAGTGGGCTTCTTGTGAGGCATGTAGTTCTGCTCATCGGCAAGTCCAAACATGCATTGATCGCACCGCACAGCTTCCAGGTGCTCGCCGCTCACAGCATCAGTGGGGGCATCTTGCAAAAGCATCTGCACGCAGAGTAAATTCCACATCTGCGAAGGCCATGGTTGTTCAAAAACAACTTGACGTCCTCTTTGCAGTCTCTGTCGTATGATCTTCACGATCCACTTGATCACAGGTCTCCATTCCATTCTAATATCATGGAGATGTTCGGCAAAACTGGGGTCACGGCTGGCATTGACAAACTGCCAAGGTGACCACGGTCCACAGACCGGAGAAAAGCTGATGCAGTAGGGGTCGTCCGCCTCTATCTGCCGTTCAACTTGGGCACGATGCTGATGAATTTTGAGGTCGATGCCGTCATGAGTGACATCAACAGGTTGTGAAACAGGTAGACCACAATCTGCCGCAATCATGCTGAGAAGAGCAGCTCCAGCAAAAATCTCTAGCAGAAAGGTCTTGCATCCCTTGGGGAGTGTGCGCCGTCGAAATCCAAGATGGTGTGTGGCGCGTAGGCAGTCCCACATGTGGTTGTCAGTTTCCTTGACATCTTGGATCGTGTCCTTGAGCTGTTTCTTCTGACCCTTGGTGAGGACGGTCTTGGAAAGCTCATCGACGGGCAAGTGAACTTCTGGGGTGAGTGGAAGTTCATCTTCTTCTTCAACTTCTGGTGTGGTGTTCTGGTGATCGCCATGAGCATCTTTTCCATGAAGTTGTTGTTCACCAGAGTCACCAGATTCATGTGTGCAGCTCAATCCAAGGTAACTTGGAATCAATCGAATTGCTAAAAGTCCATCACGCTGCACAAGTTTCAATTCACTGCCAAGAGTGCTGCTGTAGACGACATGGTTGGGAATGTCGATCTTGAAGCCAAGCTGACGTTGAGTCTCAAGGCTCAGCAGCAAAGGTGCTTGGGATCCTTGGTTCCAAGGAAGGCATAGTACCACGGGCAAAGGTGCTGTCGGCCAACTCAAAGCAAACTTCCAAAAGCCGACGTCCGCTGACTTTCATGTTGCCACCAATGCCACGCGTGTTGGAGCCCTCGATGTTGTCAAGATGTGCTTCAGGAGCTCCAGTGGCCTTGATGAAGCGGTCATACCATTGGCTTCCATGGCACGTCGCATTGCATCCAGTGTCAAGGATGGCAATCAAATCATCCTCACTGCCAAGTTGAGAGGAAGGCTCTGACACCGCCATAAGTCCAACAGCTGGTGCAGAGGCTGAGGATGAGCTGCGACGCATCTCCTTAAAGTAGTGGCACAGATGTCGAAGTCCAGAACTCATAGTCTTGCCACTTCGGAGAACATTTTGTTCTTCTTGGAGAGCCCATTCAACATAGTCCAAATCACACCATGCCTGGTAGTAGGTCTGGTTCTTGAATTTGCCAAAGTTGACAATCCTCTGGCCCATGTCATCAAGGTGTTCAGCTGGACCAAGTGTTGATGCACTCGCTCTTGACTTCGGTGTTGCAGAGTGCTGAGAGTACGTTGGTGATCTTCTGGGAGTCTGGTACTCGGAAACTGGTGGAGCTGCATCCATGCTAGAAACGCCAATCGCGTAGTCCAGCAGCATAGTTCAGTGGATGCGATCTCTTGACCGGCTTGGGAATGCGTCTCCTTGGTGCGCAGTGCAAAGTCCAACATCTGTCGAAGACGGGGAAGTTGATCCACGGTCAAGATCTGCTCCACAGTTCCAGGCATCACCACAGAAGAAGAGGAAGCTCTGGCATTGGTCCTTGTTGTTGAGCTCGCAGGTTGGGTGCCAACAGGTCCGGTGCGAACTTCACCACAGTCGCGACATGTGCGTCGCCATCGATAGCCATTAGTTCCATGCCAGGTGACATTTCTGTGTGTGCATGTGCCACCTGCAGGATCTGGTGCATTCGGCGGAGTTGAGGTAGCAGTGGTTGGCATCTTGGGCTCCCTGGACAACGTAACGCCACAGTCAAGGCACTTCTTGATTTGGTAGTATCCATTGCTGCCACGTGTCGTGACATTGACATGCCGACACACTGCGGCTGGCGATGCCGCTTTGGCAGGTGCTGGCGCTGGAAGTTCAGCAGGGAGTTGTTGTGCTGCAGCTTGAGGTACCTGAGCAACAGGTGATGGCCGTTCTGGAGTCACAGGTTGTGAAGATCTTGCGGCATGATCAAAGTCAGTGATCTCAAGTCGTTCAGGAAGACGTGGAAGGTCTCGGAAAAGTCCAGAAAGACCTTGGAGATCACGTGGAAGTCCATATCCCGCAAGTTCAGATGGCATCGCGTAGATTACTCTGCCGTCATCTCGGGTTTCAGATACTCCAAGAGCGTTGACCAGCATCATGTTGTCAAGCTCTTCAGTTGTGAGCACGCTTCCATTGCTAACATCATTCTGCAAACTTGGAACCACAGCACGTTGAGCAGGAACATCATCAGAACCCTGTGCATGAGCAGCTGGAAGTCCATGTGCTGCAGGAAGTCCACGTGCAGTAGGGCTGTCAACATATTGACCTTCTTGGAGACTGGACGGTGGTGGCACAGCGTTGTACTTCTGTGCCATGAATCCATGAAGTCCAGAAGATCCACCATCATCATGCACTGCAAAGTAGACAGTGCGAGGCTTGTGCTTGTTCTTGCCGTCTCCCTTGTCTGGTGTCGAATTGGTGGCAAAGGTCTTGGACTTGCCTTTGCCCTTGGGGCATGCAGGGTCGCCGCTCCAGTGGCCAACTTGTCCACATCGACGACAAGAGGTCTTGGCCTTGAGCAACTGTAACTTCTGCTGGCGTTCAGACAAGGAGAGCTGGCCAGAGACGTCAAAGTGACGTGTGCCGCCCTTGCCCTTGCCTTTCCCCTTGAAGCCCTTGATGCCCTTCTGCACAGCACGGTCTCGTGCGTAGAAGGCTTCAAGGTCAGCTTGAATCACATCAGCTGCATACTCCATTGACTCTTCACACCCAAGGTCGAGTCCATCATCAGCCAGCATGGCCAGAAGTTGGCCTTCATCAACTGGTTCATCTTCATGTCCATGGTCATAGTTGGCTTCGTCATAGCCGTCACCAGAGTTGTCATTCTCAGCCTGATAGGCCTCGGCAGTCTCCCAGTCATAGGTCTCTTCAGCCATGTAGCCATGGTGTTGGCTGCGACTTCCATGAGAGCGCCAGTGCTTGCCATAGCCCTTGCCACGGTGGTGCGAAGCTCCATGTTCACGTTCATGGATGCGAGCATGCTGGGCGATCAGCTCAGTGCTCACCTTTTCAAGAGTCATGTCACCAC